TAAAATTACTGAAGTACACCCCCAGTTTTAAGAATACAGCTTGTTTGGTTCTTTCAGAAGTCCACAGTGGTCTAAGCTTACACCATTGTTACATGATCAACCTTTATTCAAATCCTTTGGCTTAATTTGTAAATATTGACATATAACTATATTTTGTACCCTGTTTACAGAAATTACCAATAAGCAACCCAAGATCTAATATAATATCCATTTCTAAAAAAATAATAAAAAAATCATTTTCGCTTTTATGTTTCCAGTATGCTTGTTTATCTCGCTGTAACCTGAGCGGTGCTAACTTATCGCACTGCTGTTTGGAGCGCGCTGACTTGTCGCATGCAAACCTGGAAGGCGCTCAGCTGTTGGGGGTTAAGGCTTTGTGTGCTAATATGGAAGGTTAGTATTGTAAATGAGATTCAGTATTATGACAACCAGAAAATACTTTGTTAAGTACCCTATGTTCTTTTACCACAAATAATATACTTAACACCAAAAATGTAGTGAATGATTCAGGGGCGTAGCTAGCGCCGTACCTGCCGTATCAATTATACGGGGCCCCCAGGTCACAGGGGCCCCCAACGTTATTTTTATGAAAAAAATGTTTAGGGCCCCGCAAACATTTTTTATACGAGGCGCCGCCAAGGCTCGCTACGCCACTGGAATGATCACCAAATTTAGTAAATGACCTTTGATGGCACTCCGACATGGATGCAGATAGGTCAGAATGGTAAGATGGAATAGTATGTCATGGGTTATTTATATATAGTTAATAGGTATATATAAATAGGTTACTTCAAACCCTGCGGTCAGGAATAGGAGCCCTGCGTAGCGGGACACCGCTGCCTTAATCTATTTCATTATTATGATAATGTTTATTTCAATAAATTATTCTTATTCTTATTAAACTGCGGGTCTAATTTTTGGTCGTTAACTATTTTTAGGTCAACTTTGATTTGTTTGGAATTTTATCAAATATAAAACGAATCAAAGTTTAGGAGTGGGGGCTAAAATGTAACTATGTATAAAATGTTCATAGAAGTGACGTCATGCGACATTTCAAATCAATATATCGTCAAAAGTATTCGTTTCTGTAAGAAAATAAAATATAAGTGTGTAATGATTTAAAATAATCTACCAGACGGACATTAAAATAAAAATAGGCATACTACCATATTCATTTGATTTGTGAAGGTATTTATATTTTCGTTTTTCAGGTGCAAATCTAAAAGGTTGCAACATGGAAGATCCTGTTGGATCAAGAGCTGTGATGGAAGGTGTAAACTTAAAAGGTAATTTATAATTATATATGACACCTTCCTGTAGTAAGCTAAGAGAGTAGCCTCTCTGACTGCCTCATTGGCCGAGTGGTCGCAAGTACGACTAGTGCAAAGAGTTTCGGGTTCGATTCCCGGGTCGAGCAAGGTATTATTGGGTTTTTTAAAAAAATCCATTAAGGCCATGCAATAGGCTCACCCCCTATTACATGGGACTCATAACATAAATAGTGAAAAGTGGCTGTTACATTGTAAAAATGGCATTTAATGCCGTAAATGGCCGTAATGCACCTCTGCCTACCCCCTCGGGGATAAAAAGCGTAATGTTACCTTTCTTTTAATCTCTATACCATAGGTACCATCATTTATTGCATTGTAATATCGACTTTTCACCAGTTATTTTGTCAGTCCCATGTAATCCGAGTTAAACCTATTGCCAATCAACGAATACAAATCGAGAGTCCGTGCTATTATTATTTCCTCTTACGTTTGTAACCAGTTGAATTATCTCGTCAAGAATAAGAGTATGTTAATGCGTCACGAGAGCAACAGCACAAAAAATAATGGACGCATGTAATAATTCTGGGAGAGCCCTGCTTCGGTACAAATGGACCGTCTCGACCGTAGTGATACCACGGCCTCACAGAAACCGACGTGAAACAACGCTTGCTTTATCTTTCGTCGTTTGAGTGAGGTACTGACGGCCTAATTACCCCCTCCCCAGTCTCCCCAATCCCCGATTCCCCCACACTTCTCAAATTCCCAACTCCCAAAAGGCCGGTAACTCATTCATTGACAGTCATGTTTGTATCGCCAATTATAAAAATATTAATTATTTTTAGGCGCCAATTTAGAAGGAAGCAACATGGCGGGCGTCAATTTACGGGTGGCAACATTGAAGAATGCCAACCTACAAAACTGTGATCTCAGGGCTGCCGTGCTCGCCGGGGCTGACTTGGAGGTAAATAAATTAAATATTTGTCTTCGATAAAGTTAAATGGTATGATTAACACATTAAACGCCGTAGGGGTCACCGCTGACCAACGTTAGCGTAGGATTTGCTTTCAACAGTTTTTATTGGCAGTCAAAACCATAGCAGCTTGTAGATTGCTTTGCAACATGTCTTTAATCTGATTCCATTGCTCTTTATGTGCTCTATTTAGAATAAAGTTTTTAATTTAAATCCTTTTCTTATTTTCAGTGTTGTGACTTGTCAGGCAGTGATCTTCACGAAGCGAATCTCCGTGGTGCCAACTTGAAGGACGCAGCTTTCGAGCTAATGCTTACTCCGCTTCATATGTCCCAAACTATAAGATGATAATTAATTTAATAAAATTAATATATTACGCATTTATTAAACTTAAACCATGTTTATATCTAGTTTTTTTTTCCACAACCCATCAAATTCAGATTAAAATAAAAAATAAAAACAAATAAGTGGATCAACTTATCCTACATGTGACTGGTTACCACGCGAGTGCCCCATGCTTGGTTGTGGCTGATAAAAGAATAAAATGTAGGTACACCTACATACCATCGGTAGGACGGCAACTGTAAGTAGAACCAAGATCTAAGAGGGTGGAAAGGGAAATCTTCCTCTTCAGAAGCGGCTTAGGAACGCAGTTCCCAAAAATATTGCCAGTTTCTCGATCTTATTCTTCTATCAGATTCTTATCAGAGAACAGGTAGGTACTAATGTTGCTGTCGCATCTCAATAATAATAATAAAGTCGGGCATGTCATAGTCCTGGTGATGAATCCATTAGACATTATTATTTCTGGTTGTGGTCGTTTGGCTAATAGTGAATATTTGCATAGGCATAAACAAGTAGCTAAGATTTTGATAGTATTTTTTTTTTTAAAAAAAAAACGTTGCCTCACTCTAGGATTTTCTTCTGTGTCGTCGGTGCGTTTGTGGAAACAATAATTTGTGAATCACACAGAGTTGCTCCGTGAATCGAACCCACTACAATTGTTAAAATGGTAAAAGTAAAAAAATTGATGGACTGTCATCCATCTGCAACTCGCTTCGCGCTATAGACTTCATGAGTCTAAGGTACCGTACTACAAATATATGCCCAAACCAGTGGGCTTACTCTTGAATCCAATTCCGATCGATCGACATTGGTATTGTGAAATTTCGTACTCTTGAGTTGTAACACTAGCGCCCATTGCATCCGTATTGCTTGGATATTGAATGAACTAAATGGTATTGAGTTTGGCTTTATACTCCGTAGGTACTCTGTGTGCTATTTTAACAGCTACGGTTGGGGTTGTATAATTTTGACATTGGATAATTATTGAGATTTTATTGGATTGAAATTGCATTTACATTCGACTTTTATCTCTTATCCGTCATGTGTATATATTTTATTTTTATTTATTTACATATCCTTATGTATATATGTGTGTGTATGTATATGTATGCATGTATGTATGTATGT